CCAGGTGCACAGGCTAACTAACTAACATCCTCAATAATGTAAATGCATAATACGGCACGCAGGCCGGAAAGGGGACTATCTACTTCTACGTTCCGAGTTCTAGCGCGCTCCAGTGACTTATTCTTCTGTGCCTGAAAGCCAAATATATCTGTTCAGCGAGAGATGCTGGTAACCCCCTTCAACGCGTTGAAATACAATACATATAGAGTTATATATAGATATACGAAAACCATTTTGAGCATGAGGATATATCCTACGAACTCTAGCTTTAAAACCGGGAATGACTCGACAGATAAGGCCAGACACAAGCAACAGTCATAACAAGCATATGCAGTTCTCAACAGATAAGGCAGTTAAGGCAAGGCATGAACAATAATCATAACCCAATATGAACAATCCCCAATATAAATCCCATAGTCGCATCCCCAAGATACTCATAACAACAACTCATCCATCACTCATCACATAGCACACTTTGTTGGCGCCACAGGACCAATCGCATGCCCATACATGAGGGTCAGCGCATATAGCTCTGACACGGCCCCGCAGCACCCTGCCCCGTATCGCAACACGGAGGGGTCGGTCGCAACCGACCAATGAACCGCAGCTCATAAGAATGTGTAATCTGACTGTAGCCAGGAATTCCCATCTGACTACAGCCAGCCTCCGAACCGCAGCTCGGGAAAATGTCATCTGATTGCAGCCAGGAATTCCCATCTGACTACAACCAGCTTCTGGACCGCAGCCCAGGATACCGTCATCCGACTGCAGCCAGGAATTCCCATCTGACTGTAGCCGGCTTCTGAACCGCAGCTCAGGAATAACCAATCCGATCGCAACCGAATTGGGGCAACACGCACACATAACACATAGCAAGCACACACAACCCACATTACACGTTGGGAAGGGGAACAAACGTATAAATAAACCTATGCGTGAACCATCACCAACTAAGAATAGTCCTAAGGGGTTCATACTTCTTCCACCTAGGTCAACGGGATACCAATTCAACTAGCATGCAATATAATCGACTCATAAACCTACGAACGGTACCCGAAATACCAAACTAGACATAGGCAAGACAAACGGGGTCCGTTGGGACACCACGGGGATCGGGGAAACATCAAACGGGGAAGCCGGGGTCCCGAGGGGGGGGAAGATTCCAGCGGGTAGCCGGTGGGTGGGGGTCACCCGCCGGCTGCCCGCCGGCCAACACTGTTCCGGGCAGCGGGTGCCCGGCGGGCAGCTGCCCGCCCGCCGGCTGCCCGCTGCCGGAACTGCCCGAAGTTGCCACGGGTAGGTGGCGGGTCCCCTACCCCCACCAACCCCCCACTGACTCTTTTCATCACTTTTCGCCTCGGGAACCGTTGTGGAACCCGAAACCATGCTTAGACACTTTACAACGCAATTAACGACAACACGTAGACAATTAACGGATCAATTACGAGAAACGAACGGCACATAGCCTATCATGCTTCTAAACATAATCCACCCCAAACATGCGATTTCCCCACCCGATAATCCAAGAATAATAACATACGATACAACCTAGGGTTCTAATCACTTTTATATCAACAAGAATACGATTCGTCTTCTAATTGCAAGATTCGGTAAGAACAACACATAATCACCAAGGATACCAATCAATCATCAAGAATGCCATAATTACCAAGAACAATACATAATCATCAAGCATCCCAATTAATTATCAAGAACATTATATTTATCAAGAAACTCCCAATATCAAGATTATCAAGATTCCTCATTATATCAATACCAATAATAATCATCATAAATCGCCATTCACAATTATATGGGGGAAACCCTAAGGGGAAAATATAGCTATGAAAATAGGTTTTGTTGAGACATGGGTTACCTCTTAGCCTTAATTAATTCCTTGGCTATGAAGGATCTTTCTTTAAGCTTTCCTGATTTCTTGATTTCTCCTAAGGGAATTCTTGGAGCTCTCCTGGGGTGGTGGGGCGTGTAAACGTGTGGGAGGGGTTCTGGGTGCTCCCTAAGTTCCCTATTTATAGATCCAAGGGTTTAGAGTTTATTCCTATTGGGTTTAGGGGTTGGGTTTATATAAATGGGGCCCATGGGCTATGGTGGACTTTTTCCCTAATTAACCATTATAATTTATTCTTTCTCCTGGGTTATTAATTAATTAGTTAATTAATCAGTTGGTTTTAGGATCCGTAACACGGGGTGTTACACGATCGGCCAATCCCTCGAAGCTGCGAATCGATCCTGATGGCAAGGCGACGAGCCACCTTTGAGCTGGTCCTTCCAAGGTCGGCAGGAAGGCGCGGCACATGACAGGGTCCTTGACCCCCAAGACCTGCATTTTCGCCTAGTAACTAAAGAGGTGTTCACGCGGGTTGCCCGACCCGTTAAAATTGGCGTGCTCCGGAAATTTGAAGTCGCCGGGTATTTTGTATGCTATGATCTCAGCTGAGAAGGGCAAGGTGGTGAGCAACGTCTGACCTGGAGACTTGGTCTTGCCCTCCACTTGTCATTCAGATTACGCAATTCCTGAGCCAGATAGGCCATCTCGCCAAAAATTCCTGGTATGGTTTCCCGTGGACTCGGTACTTTCTCTGGCTTGGGACTCGGTTTGCCGTTCCTCGTCACAGGCAGGCCTCTCAGTCCGTCGCCCTTGGGTTCTGGTTCTTCTAGTATGAGTCTTTTCTCGGGTGACCTCACGATTCTGCTGTCCTGTCCGCACTCGACTGGGTGCTCCTTTACCCAATCGCTTTTTCGCTGATCGACGGGTCGCGTTTGGGCCCAGTCTCGAATGTACAGACCGAGCCGGCGGATCTTCTACCCTCCGGTCTTCTCGCCTGTCTCTGTCGGACCTTTGGGGCGGATGTTGGTTTTGCGACTGCAGATTTGGCAATCAAGAAACCGATGGTTCCCTCAGTTCCCGGGTTTGTACGGCTACGGCGCGAGCGATGGCATCGATCTGCGCGGGGGTGAGAGGTATCATTGACAGAGGCCGATTTCGAGGCGCTGAATCACCTCCCTGACTTTGTGAGTTCCGTTGGTTCAATTGATTCCTTAGGTCTGCCTCAGGCACGCTGTGGCGGTCGCAGGCCTGGCTTCGATCCTCAGCCATTGTTTTTAAGCTTCTGTTTGCTCTTACTTGTCTTTCTACTCTTTCTCCGACTCCTTTCTCGATGCAGAAGAGCGAACGTAACCTTTCGTTACGATCCCCACAGACGGCGCCAGTGCTGGTTTTTGGGCCCAGGGAGATCCAACACAACCTTAGTTGGTGGATTCACCTTTCAAAAATATAAGGGAAATAATAGCTCTGTAAGTGTGTGTGTACTCTTGGCCTGATCTCGCCGTCCCCTTCACATTCTTGAGGAGTCGCCTTTTATAGCGGGTCTCCTCGGTATCATTCAAAAGTATACATTTAAGGCCATAAATCGGCCTATTCATTCTAAGGGTCGTTGGGCTGTCGTTACTGGGCCTCCCAACGACTTGCTGACCGGGCTCCTTAAATGGCCTCTTAAATGCTCTAACGGCTATCTCCATGTGGCCTGCCCGCTCGCGCCGACCCCGCACTCGCGCAGACCTCGGGGTCGAGCTGACCTCTTGGTTTTAGCTCCTACCCCTCTTCGGCTTTTCCTCTTCTGGACTTGGCCCTTTTTCCTCTTGAGCCTCTCTTCTTCTTGGACTTTTCTTCTTCTTCCTGGGCCCCGAGCCCACGGGGTTCACACCCCATCAATAATAATAATAATAATAATAATAATAATAATAATAATAATAATAATAATAATAATAATAATAATAATAATAATAATAATAATAATAATAATAATAATAATAATAATAATAATAATAATAATAATAATATTTGCGGTGAAAGTTACGGATAAAGGAAAAGAGAAAAGGGTTTTAATTGGAAATGATAAATTATGTCATTTCTTTAAAATAATGAGGATAAAGATAGAAAAAAAGTTAGGAAGTTATGAGCTTATTTTGGAACGCTACCTTAGGTAGCGTTCCAAAATAAGCTCTTATTTTAAGCTAGGAGCTTATTTTGGGAACATTACCGAACAAAACTAGCTTATTAGTAGCTTAAAATAAGCTATAAGCTCTTAAATAAGCTCTACCAAACAAGCCTTAATGTTACGTAGGTTACTAACAAAAACCATTGAAAAAACCCAATAAATAAGTTTGCTCGTAAAACAAAAACTTAACAGGATATACGGGTTCGATCCATTTTCACAGCCAATTCAATAAAAAGTTAAGGAATAAGGGTTAAATAGGCCATTCAAATGCACACCAAACTACAATTAGGCCACTGAACTCAAAAAAATAACAATTGAGTCCCTGAACAAGACAAATTCTTGCAATTTAATCTAAAGTGACTTGTTTACCTTTTAATATGATGACGTGTCGGTTTCTTTATTTTAAAATAATTTTAAAATTTTTTGTTTAATAGTTTTTAATTAAATAAATATTTTAAAATTTAAAAAAAAAAAAAAAAAAAAAAAAAACCAGCCGGAGACCCCTTCTTCTCCGGCCAGGGAGAACCTCCATGGAGACGAAGGGTTTTCCATGGGATCCCTTTGCCTCCCTGGCTGGACGAAGGGGACGGATCGGAAACGAAGCCCAAGTCACTTCATATTAAATTGCAAGAATTTGTGTTGTTCAGGGACCTAATTGTTGTTCTTTTTGAGTTCAGTGATCTAATTGTAGTTTGGTGTGTAGATGGATGGCCTATTTAACCCTTATTCCAAAAGTTAAAAACAATTGGATGCGTTTCATAAACTAAAAAGTTATGAGTTTCCTTGCAGTGACTTCTCTGGTTGACTTTGGCATATATGGTAGATGGAAACAAGATTCCTATATCATCAAGGCTCACGATGACTTGGATCTGTAGTGGAGTCGTCGTGACTTGTAGCTTTAATAATATAATATATTACATAAATTAAATTATAATTTATTGATGGGTCAGTAACGTGCGTCGTCGGCTTTTGTTGAACAAATGCAGGAGTTATAGCAGGCCACCACATTTCATCAAGTTGAACATCTATCCAAACTAAACAGTAGTTATGGCATGTGTTGCAGTAACTTCTCTAATGAGAACTTTAGAGTTTCAGTTCCTACACCCCCAACCCCGAATCACTCTTTCAAACAAAAAGCAGATTGAGTGTCTTCATGAAAAACATGGTCGTTTGCTAGTTTTTCTTGATAAATTTGAGAATAATGCCGACAATCTTCCGGAGATGAGAGCAGTGACTGAAGAAATTATAGATGTGACTGTGAAGGCTGACGATGGCATTCAAGAGGAACTGTTGACCTTCATCAGGAGCAGTAATAACAGATTGGATGATGAGAAGGATTGCTGGTGCTTGGACTTCATCAGGGGCTTCACTACTGCTTCCACAAAACTTGAAGAAACCTTGAAGCGCGTAGTGGATGACGTTGAAAAGCTGGTGCAGATTACAATGAAAACCAGTGGCCTTGTCAACAGTAATCTCACACAACATACCTCGCATGTGGATGTGGTCCATGAAGACACCAGTGACCTTATCAACAGTAATCTCACGGTTGGAGGCTCCTCAATCTCCTCACAACATACCTCGCAGGAGGATGCAATGGTAGGACACTCAGAAGAGCTGGATGAGGTAATGAGACAGCTCACTGGTGACAAAAATAAAGCACTCCAAGTAATTGCAGTTGTGGGCATGGGCGGCATTGGCAAGACAACTTTTGCTAAAACAATTTATGATGAGCCTAGAGTCAAATCTCATTTCGATTTATGTGCTTGGACAACCATGTCTCTAGAGCATAACAAAGGACAAGCGATCCTTGACCTTTGTCGTTGCGTCAAGCAATCGAGCAGTGCCTTCAACAATGATCTCGATGCGCAACTTCACAAAAGTTTATTGGGCTATAGGTACCTTATTATTGTGGACGACATATGGACTACTGATGCCTGGGATGATATCTGCCGATGTTTTCCTGATGAAAATAATGGGAGCAAAATATTGTTGACCACTCGGGCTGTAGAGGTAGCCCAGTATGCAGGCTCAGGTGAGTATTCTCATGAAATGCGTTTCTTAAATGATGATGAAGGTTGGGGTTTATTTTGTCAGAAGTTTTTGGAAAAAGAATTACTTAAGAAATATGAATTTAAAAGAATTGGGATGAACATTTGTCGAAAATGTCAAGGTTTACCACTCACAGTTGTGATGATGGCAGGGCTTCTATCTAAAACCGCTAAGACAATAGGTGAATGGGAAAACATTGAAAGAAACTTAAATTCTCTATTGGCTTTAGACCTTCATGAGAAATTTTCAAGAATATTCACACTGAGTTACAACCACTTGCCTAGTCATTTGAAGGGTTGCTTTTTGTATTTAGGAGTTTTTCATGAAGATAGTGAGATTTCAGTTAAAAAGCTTATTAGGTTATGGATTGCAGAGGGATTTGTAGAGACAATGGGTCATAGAAAGAGGCTAGAGGAAGTAGGTGGAGATTATTTGCAAGATCTTATTGATAGAAGTTTAGTTATGGTTAATAAGAGAAGCTTTGATGGCCAAATCAAAACCTGTAGGATGCATGATCTGTTACATGAGTTGTGCTCGAGCAAGGCTAAAAACGAGAACCTTTTGTACCTTGAAACTATGGGTAGCAGGCGTAATTTTGGTCACTTTGTTCGATTAAGTGATGAGCGTTGGTTAAGTCTTAAAGTAGTAATTCCAGATTTTCATATTTCCATTTCTTCCAAGCAATGGCGTTCCATTTTATGTTTTAATGGATCTGGTAAGGAATGGTATTTGCGAGCCACCTCTTTTAAGAAGTTAATAGTGTTAGACTTGAGCAAGATTGAGTTCAAGTCAGGTGTGCCTCGAGATATTACAGATCTTGTTTTCTTAAGGTACCTAGCATTAGCCTCAAGTAAGCTTCTAAACCACATCCCTTTGGACAAAAATTGGAATCTACAGACACTAATTATCAATGGAGAAGATGATAACAACGCCCACAATCTGCTGCCTCATGGAATTTGGGATAATTTGCAACAACTAAGGCATCTTGAAATCAACCACAAGCTGCAGGTTTCTATTGATCTTCTAAAAGTTCAAGAAAACCTGCAGACACTTTATTGCTTGTCTATCTCTCAGTGCACAGCGGAAGTGTTTAAGAGAATCCCGAGTGTTAAAGAGTTGGGAATAGTCGCAGGAGGACACCAAGTGTGGCCACAGGGTTTAAATAGCCCGTGTTGTTTAGAATATCTTGAGAAGCTAAGAGTTCAGGGCTCTGACCACCCTTTAGACTTGCCTCCACAGCCACAGGGTGATATTTTCCCAGAAACCCTTAAGGAGTTGACATTTGTGAGTACCCGCATACCATGGCGAGCCATGAGTCTTATTAGTATGCTACCTAAACTGGAGGTGCTTAAACTCAAGAACTTTGCCTGCACGGGACAGGAGTGGGAACTAACTGAGGATCATTGCTTCCGTCAGTTAAAGGTTCTGATCATTTCTCACACAGATTTGAAGGAGTGGAAGGCAGACGGGGACTCTACTTTCCCTAAACTCCAGCGCTTACAACTAAAAAAGTGCTTCAACTTGAAAGAGATGCCAGATTGGATTGAAAATATGATAACACTCCAATTAATTAAGTTGGTGTATTGCTATACTTCCCTTGTTCATTCTGCTAACCTGATTAAAGAGCAACATGAACTCTATGGGTATGATATCTTAGATATTCTTGACTTCCATACTCAACCAGGTATGTGTCTTAACTAATTCTTTTCTTTATTTAATTTCTTTCATCTACTATTCTTTACTTTTCATAATTCATTTTCTGATAAAATTCTAGACGAAGACCATGTTGATCCTCTATGCATGAATAGAAGAAGGTTCTATTGAATAAACTTGTAGAGATCAAATCATAAGAAAGCTGAGTATCCCCGGCCTGGCCATACTTTAATGGTAAGTCTAGCTCTTATATATATATATATATATATATATATATATATATATATATATATATATTTGTCATATATATGCAAATAATATTGAGTTCCTCCTTTCCTATTATATATATATATATAGTTAATTTCAAATAACAATCAATATAATTTAGGTCTTGGATGACAAAAAAGCAGATCCCCTGGAAAGACAAGTAGCAACCCAAGGTGGCAGAAGCTATTGGATGAAGTACAATGAAGGAAGCTCTAAAATGGATGAAGGAATTAAACCTGGACAGAATTCAGACGCACTTCAAGTTCTTTAGAGCCTACATCTCTACAGCATTTAGACTCGTCCGACCCTTTGATCTCTAGAATAGTTTGTTAAGCGATTTACGAATATGGTTGCGCATTTGCTTGCTAGGGAAGCCGTATTCAAGTCAGGTTGTGTTGTTCATGATTTTCCTCCTCCTTCTGTGGAGGATATTTGGTTGCTTTTTTTTTTTTTTCTTCCCAAAAAAAAAAAAAATCAATTTAGGTCTTGGAACTGTTATTTAGTTTTCCTCAGTACTATTGGATACTTGCATTACAAAAATGAAGGGTGAAAGAATAGTATGACCAGTGATTGTGTTTCCATAATTTGACTATGAATTGGAGGCCAAGGGTGGAACCACCATCTTTCTATTTATCAAAAATACAGATTATAAAATGCTTTTGCTTTTAAAATCAGTGTACTACTGTTGATATACTTTCTCACCCCGAACTCAACCTTTCAAATGGAAGTCCAACCCGGATAAAAATGGCGGCCACAGATTTTAATCAAATGAATGGCTCAGATTGATCAGATTTTAATTTTTCCTTAAGATTTCCTAATTTATCTTTAATGAATATGATTATCCGTTAACTTTTCCGTTAAATATTATCTTTTCTGTTAAATTCTGTTAATTCACCGTTAACTTACTCATTGATTTCAATAAGAAAGGTCTTAAGTTCGAACCTCATCCCAATCAAAGTTGACATAATTAGTACTCTATTTTATTTTTATTAAATTAAAAATAGTAATTTAGTAGCTATAACACAAAATAATACATATGCGTTTCTTTAATTTAGAATTATGTGTTTATAATGTCTTTATTCAAAAAAAATATTCATTATCAATAAATTAAATAAGAGAAATAATTTTATTAGTTATATTGTCTTTGTTTTTCTCCAATATAAAAATTCTTTACATTCAAATTCATCAATTGATTATATTCGCTACATTGTCCCTACAATGTCTTTATTAAAAAAAAATGAGAAGTAATTTTATTAGTTATATTGTCTTTATTTTTCTCCAAGGTAAAAATTCTTTACATTCAAATTCATCAATTAATTATATTCACTACATTGTCTATTAATTTTTTTTGTGCACTATTTTTTTTAATTAAATATCAAAGTTATAATACAAAATAATGCTATATATTTATTTACCAAGTATTTTATTAATATCGTGAAAAAATTTTAAAAATATAATTAATAAAGTCAATCATATTAACTACTTGAGAGATTTGTTGACAAAGAGACTATTCAAATCACACAACAAATTGAAGTGAGAACTATATCGCAATGTCCTTGTTTGACAACCAGCAGTTAGCGGATTATATTAGCGGATCTGACCAACGAATTTTATCAACAGTTGGTAAAAAGATATCTGAAAAAATTAGCTGTTTAGATTAACATGTAAAATGACCTAATGGTGATAATAATAATAATAATAATAATAATAATAATAATAATAATAATAATAATAATAATAATAATAATAATAATAATAATAATAATAATAATAATAATAATAATAATAATAATAATTGTTTTAAAAAAATAAAAAAAAAAATACAATTAAGCCAATCATATTAACTACTTGGGGAATTTATTGATAAAAAGAGTATTCAAATCACACAACAAACTGAAGTAGGAAACTATCTCGCAATGTCCTTGTTTGGCAATCAACAGTTAGCTCTTCGATATTAGTATATATTTAATATTTTATACCTTAATTTTTATTTGTTCTCCCGTATATCCCGT